TGAATTTTTCTGCCCCCCCCCCCCCCGGTCCCCATGCTGAATTTATGTGTTTCTGTTGTATATGTGCAGTGGGAATTACAGGGTTTGTATATGCTCTACTCTGAGTCAGATGATCCAAAGAGAGGACCGAGGGGGACTTAGAATGGAGCCACTGGCAGCATCCCAAGCTCCTGCCTCTCCCAAAGGGATGCACTGGGGACGTTTTTTCTGGATATGTTTTCTTCACAGCTCCCAGCAGGATCCAGCCTATTTTTGAACTCAAACTTTCTTTTGTCTGTTTCAGCCATCGCACCAAATTTGGTTCCATTCTGTTCTTTTTTTGGAGAGGTATCTTGTTGATAGGTGAGTCCCAACCTTTTAGAATAATTTATTTCCAGCTGGAAAGAAAAACTGTACAATTCTTCAAAATGCTACTCTTGATGTAAATTATACTTAACATGACTACCATCTGTCACCACAGGATTTTCATACCTAACAAGAAATTACATTATCCGAATCCCTTCCAACTTATAAACGTTCTTCCTGAACTATGTCCCAAACCAGTTTACTTAAAATAAATTAATACACAATGACTTAGGCACTTATAGTGAATGAGTGAGAAAATGTGTTTGCATAGATGGCAAGTCAGCAATCATTCCTATGGTCAAAGCTGCATTTCTTTCCAACCACGATCATAAAAATGGTTATTGGGTCACTTATTGGGTCCAGATTATACTGCATTTCTTTAAATACTATATGCACACATTCACAATTTAATTACATGAACCAGCTCTCAGTTGTTGCCTTCCATAACATATTGCACTGCTGGAGATGTTTAAGCAGAGGTCAGATAACCACCTATCACAGATTCTTCCGCCAAGGAGTGGGTTGCACTAGACGATCTCCAAGGTTCAACCCTTATGTTGCAACTCTTGCGTTCTATGATCTATGAATACTGAAACCTAGTATACAGATTGTTCTTAACAAAAGTTAAAAGGATATGTTAATTGTACTGTAAATCTATAAATGCCTTGCTTCTTGGATGCCTAAAGCAAATGACAATTTGTTTCAGGCAACTAGGTGGATCAATTTTTAAAATGAAAAGGGTAAATTTGAGGAATGACTAAGACTCTAATAAAGTACTTCATTCTGTAAACAATAAACACTCTCGTTTGGATATAACACAAAACGGAGTTATATGAACAATTCTAGATAAGCCTGGAGGTTGTGCTGCCCTTCTTTCTACTCCACAATCATAAATGAGTGAATGAAATAACTTTCTAACTCACCATAATTTAGCATAAGACTAAATCTAGACAAACAGTAGTTTAGCCATTATTTATTAAAACAAGCCAAGTTAAAGGCACAGTAATATAAAGATGGTTTTTCTTATGGAGTGGGTGGCCATAACAAATTTAATAAATGGAATTGAAGTGAATAATAAACCACAGTTAAGATTTGGACTCAAAACCTCTGTATTTTTATTAAGTGTTCAGGGAGAGGGGACAGCCCTAAATCAACAGGAAATAGTGATATAGTGATATATTTATAGTCTAAATGAGGCCATGGGTAGACCTTATTTTTTATCTAATTGAATAGACAGACATGAAGTAAATTATGGTAGCAATCTAATACACACACACACACACACACACACCATGGCTTGGTATGCTATAACTCAGTTATATCCTTAGACCAGACTTACAGGTCATATTAAAACAATTTTGTTTGATCTGCATAAATAAAAATGAGCTGCAGTGAACTTTGGCTCCTACTAACCCTGTGTAAACAAAGAAATGTGAGAGTTTGTCATGTTATCCAGATAATCTGTGAGTAGTTCTAACACACTTTTGTTTAAAGCTAGTCAATTTCATCTGTAGCTTCATAATTTGACTTGTTTTAAACAAAACACAGTTAATGTTAGTTAGCTGAAAGTAGAAAATTGCCAGGCAAAAGAAAAAGGGAACAGAGAACAAGTGCATGTCCCACTTGCTGTTTCTCCAGAGGCTCACAGCTTGGTTTTTTCCTACTCAATACATGTAGAGCAACTATGTGTGCAAAGGATCGAGAAGCATGTTTGCTTAGAGCTGCGTCCAAATGTCCTTTCAAAATTCTCCATCAGAGAAAGTGGGTGGGTTATTTCTCTGTATTTCTCCAGATTAAGGAAAAATTCTCCAATTGTATCTCAAGAGCAGGATTCTGATGGTATCACTATTATTCTGTCATGGTATCTTCCCTTGGAATTTAACAGAAACATGGGAAATTAGGCAGGCTGCAAGCCACTGGAGTGATTACTGTACAATGAAAGACAGAACAATCGGCATATATGCCCTGAATACCTTATAATAAAGTAGTGCAAGAATACCACACTCCATCTACGAAAATTAAAAGAAAGAAAGAAAGCATTTTTAAATCCTCTTTCACCAAACTGACAGAAAAACAAAAGGAGGACTTCTTTGCTCTGCATTACTATGTGAAGAGAACCATCTGATGGTGGGAGCACCAGACAGTTGATGATATCCAACTACTAGCTAATTCAGAGTTGGGGTGGGAGTAAAGCCTGGCATCAAGAGCTCTTGTGAATAACTTGTTATTTTGGCACTGTATTGCAGCATAATGTCAATGTAGCACCTGTTATTATTGGGGAGCTGGGTAACTGAGGCTATGAATGTATAGAATTGCCTTGACTGAATGATAATCTTTTGAAACATGAGTGTGAAGTGCTAATTAGACATTGAGTATGTGCGGAAATGCAGATGCTGCAGGCTTTCACTCTGATTAGATGATGAGTGGGGCTCTTGCTGGAATGTGTCTGGGCAAGAAGCATAATGGGGAGAAGGAAAGAACTGTTAATCCTATCAAAAATGTTTAGCAGGAGATGAGTCTTCAGAGAAGAAGATGTGAACATTTGGAAGCTATTCTACCTTTTGAAGCTGTATTTGTTTCCCAGATACCAGTTGAGCCCACTGGTTTAATGGTATATCATTCAATATTAGGTTAGTTCTTAGCAATACTGAAGCTATCTATGATCTCTGAGAGATGAGTCAGTTTGATACATATTACCTGACAGAACAGGATGTGGTTGATTTAACCTTGTTTTGCCTAACTGGGTATTTGGTGCAGTCCTAACCTATGCTGGAGGGTCAGGCAGAGGAGTAACTGCAGCCCACAGAAGTTATATTTTGCCCACAAGAAACTTCTTATTCTGGAACAGGCTTTGCTTGCCTGTAAATGGTTTTGGGTCACAGAGAGTACCTCAGATTGCTGCTGATGGACTGTTCACACTGATACCAATAGTGAAACCACTATTGTTCTAATAGTGTTTGTGGATTTAATTGTGTCACTAGTTGCTCAAGTGACCTAAGTGGCTAAGAGCAATTATTGTCAGTTTATGACAGTATGACACATATGATCTGTCCTATAGAGGGAATGCCTTGCCACAGTAATCCATAAACCAATACCCTCAAGATTGGACTACTGTAATGAACTATAGAGAAAAATCTGGAAGCTTTAGCTGGTGCACAAAGCAGAGCTAGGTTACTCAGCATAGTCCCTGAAACTGTGGTGCTGACAGGTCTGTACAGCTTGATAATGGGCTATCGAGCCATGTTTAAATATTACCTATTACATATTGGTTTAGAAGGCCTTAAACAGCTCAGGTTCTGGTTATTGGAAGCATCATCTACTTCTACCTGATCCTTCCAAAACTGTCTTGCTGATGATGCAATGGCTTGCTGACATTCACCTGTGGTAGTGTGGAGAAGCACATTCTTTTTTGTGGTGCTCACAATATGGAATAATTTCCTTATTATGATTGGGGTGGGGGGTTCCCAGCGGGCATGTTTCTGCTATCAGTTAAGGATTTATCTGTTGCCTAGGCATTTTCCAAATTTTTCAGACTAATTACCACCTACCTTAACACTGTTGATAAAACAGTTTAATTTTAAAATATATAATACATGTGGTTATTTTTTAAAAAACTTGTTTGAGATTTTTGATAATATCAAATCAGCATTTTAAAAAACCCAAATGAATAAATAAAATAAAAACAATCCTGGCTATATGACATGAGTCTGAGATTTTGTTGCAGCTCATTTCTGCTTCTGTATTTTTCACGAAACAAGAACATTTGACTTTTCTTACCTGTGTATACAGTTTTTGGATTCAAGATACGCCATCCCAGCAGCAACATCTAATGAGAATTTCACCAACTGTTTGGTTTTTAGCTCATCCTTTTTCTTTCTTAAAAAGGAAAGGAAATCACCTCCTAGAGAAAGAGACAGATTGGCAATGAGACATGACAGGGATGATATTCCCATTTATCTCTCATTAGTGATGCTTGACTGAACAGGAAGCAGTATACTCTCAGCTTTGCTTTTCAACCAATTTGAAGCTTAAGTGAAAAAGAAACAACGAAAATGCAAAGATTATAGTTTCACTAATACTAAGGTTTTTAAAACTATCTTAGATATATCTCACTTACAAGATGAACTCTGTGCATTGCACAGAAAAGCAGAAACTGATGATAATATGTGTCTTGTGTATCCTATGCACATTGTTTATTTATAAAAATTCTATCCTGCTTTTTATCATTGAAATCAATTCCAAAATTAGTACAATTCACTTAAAACGGTTTATAGTAAGCTTAAAATCAACAATGCAGTAAAACTCTTTTATAAAGCACAATAATATCTTAGATAACTTTAAAGAAACATAAAACACTGGACAAGAATATCAGAACAGTTAGAAAGACACCACAGCTCTAGCTGACTGAAAGCTTGGATTGACAGGTGTGTTTTAAGTTGAAGCTTAAGTTTAAAAGACTTGGTGCCAACAAAAACTGAACAAGAAGGGAATTCCTTAGCTGGGCAAATGTAATGAGAAAAGTTTCTTTCAGCTCACCAAATGCCAAACTTAGAATATGTGACAGTGCAGGGCATCCTGACCACCTCTTAGCTGATATATAGGTACATATGGGAGAAAATGCTCTGCTGGATCATTATTTTAATTTATTATTGAAAAAGATGTGTGCTATTTGCATGATGTAATGCTAACAGCTCCATTTTTAAGAAGGGCATATAACAGTTGGGGAGTCTGTGTTAAAACAATCCATAAAAATTATGATGTGAGGGAGTATATGAAGTTGTAATGTACAGAATTTTAGTTTCTATATTGTTGAAGTTAAAGGCTTACAGGAAGGCATGCTCCAAGGAAAGTTGCAAGAGGAAATATACTGGGGTAGAGGAAGAATATTTTTCATATCTACCTGGAAACATCATAGGTTTTGCATGCAAAGCATGTGTTCTAACCACCGAACTATGATCCTTCCTATTTGATCAGGATACAAAACCTCGCACAGCTGTTTTCATTTGCGCAGATGAATTTGAGTAAGACCTGTTAGACCTGAGTTTGTGACATTGTATCGTGACACTGTATAGAGCACAATCTCCCTGGGTGTCTAAATGCGTGTGTCTAAAATAACAATTTAAATGATAGTCTGGGCATTTATTTGCATTTTTATCCTATTGCATTCCCTGAAAGCTCATTAAGATCAGAGGAAAAACACTGATATGAGAATTATCAAACATAATTATCAGGGTTTTACTTTAATGAATCAATCTATTAATGTATGCCTAGAATTCAAGGTCTTAAACAGCTTGGCCCAAGGACAGATCACAGCTGGGGTGGGTGAAATGTAGCCTATATGTGGTTTCTCCATGTTCTCTGTAGCATCCAAAGACTCCAAAATTAAATTATGAATGCATTCCCTGAAGAGAAAAAGAGTGCTTCCCCTGCCTTTTTCTGTAGCACGTACAAATAAATATACATATATTAGTAGGAATCAGAAAACCAGCATAGCTATTATTCTATTCTAAGCTACATTAATTCCACTGAATCTATATCAGGTAATTTTTTTCATACACTGGCTTGCTTATTTTAACACAAAACATTGCAATCTGCAGAAATGTGATTATTTATTTATTTATTAATGTATTTATTATATGAAATTATTAATGGATATGCTTATTAACAGCAGACTTTATATATTTAAAAAAAACTGCCTTCATATAAAACTGGCATGACTGTGAGAGTGATTAGTGTAATTACCAATTCCTGAAATTTTTACCAAGTGTTCCAAAGAACCAGGCTTCCATATATAAAAAGACTCAAGAGGTGATGACTTAATTGCATGCTCTCTAATTAAAGCTATCAAGAAAACAAACTGCCCTACTAAACTCTTTGGTTGTTTTCTCACCTATATTGTCTACCAAATATTACATGGTTCTAATTTATTACTTCAGTAATAGTGCTATCACATTTATGAACCAGATTGAAAACCCTGGAGAGTAGTAAATAATATTCAACCCATCATTAGTCACTTAAAAAATTAAAAAAAAATGTCCAAAATGCTTTTATACAGCCTCAAGTGTGTAATTATGTGCTTCTGTAGAAAATGGATGTGAAAGTAAATGTTATAGTTGTAGACTGCATTTATATAAAACATTACAAGCTCCAATAGCCATAAACATGGTTACAGGCAAAACCCTAAAAATAAGTTATACATGGGATTAGATGAATTTATTTATACACAGATTTAGTACCTTGCTAATACACTTATATTACTCAAGGTGATTTACAATAGTTAAAACAGCAAACTAAATCAGCTTAACATAATGAAGTTAGGCATAAGGGATCCTATGCCACTACCTTCTAACCACATGGTATTTGTTCTTTGATAATAATAAACTGAGGCATTCTTCTCAAGCTTTTGCTTCAGTCCTGTTGAAAACTTCCCCAAATATGCAAGTCCAAGTTCTATTTAAAATGTTAAAATGGTTACCAATTTGGCAGAACAATTTGGAAGATCTTTTTCTATTAAACAGTGCTACACCCTCCTCATGTCTGAGTGATGAGACATTCTAGCAATAGCGGGGTTTCTCTGATATTCCGCTCCCTCTACAGCTCCCAATGCCACCTTCTATTGTGGAGATACTTGGTAAAGTGAGAAATATGGATGGATATAATCAGGAAAAGATATTCTCCTATTCAGCCAAAAGAAAAGCTTCACTGGTTAAATAAACAAAAATGATGGAAAGAGCTTTTCATCCATAAGATACTTATCTAACCCAGTATGTAAAAGATTCAATTTCTTGAGAGAGGAAGCCATAAGTTCCAAATATGTCAACAGGACAAATGCACTTGTATAAACAGAAAGAATTGCTTAGTTTAATTCCAACAGTAGCTGTCACCCACAAAATCTTCCCTTATCTAACCTCCAAAACAGTAGTTGCTAAAATAGCAATGGGTCTATTTTGTAAAAGCCCATATTCTGTAAATTCAAGTAAATATAAAGAATTTAATGAAAGAGGACAACCCAGAAAATAATAATCGGACAGTAGACTGATTAGTCAGTCTACTTTTCAGTCTACTCTCCACAATCTACCTTATTATGACTAAATGTTCTGTTTTCAATCTTTACATTACTTTAGCAAAAACAAACGGTACACATATTTTGTCACCCAGTAAGGCACTTTCTTCTTGCTAGGGATGCATATGTGGCCATCTTAAAAATAGTATACCAATAGTGATATATCAAATGAAGTGCAAAGCACAGTGGCTTGGATCTTGTGGCTATTAATTAGATATATTACTGGTTTAAAAATCATATCCAGAGAGGGCTATTCAATGGAGAGAGGTATCAAGTGAGGTGCCACAAGTATCAGCTCTGAGTTCTTTCCTTAATATTTTAATTAGTGTCTTGGATGAAGAAGTAGAGTGAATGCTTTCAAATGATGCTAAAAATGGTGGGATACCTAATACACTAGCAGACAGAAATAAAATTCACAATAATCTTGATAGATTAGAGAAATGGACTGAAAATAAAAGATGAAATTTAGCAGTGATTAATACAACGTTCTTCAATTAAGAACACAAAAAGACTTCACTTAAGGACACAAAAATCAAAGACACAGGTCTTAATGGATGGAGAATATCTTGTTTGGAAATGGTACTTGTGAAAAAAAAATTGGAATATTAAATTGGTTAGAAACTGAATATAAGCCAGAAGTGTGATGTAGCTATAAAAAAAGCAAATGCAATTTTTAGGCTGTTTCAACAGAAGTATAATTTCAAAATCATATAAAGTAATCCTTCTATTCTATTTTGCTTTGGTCAGACCACACCTCAAGTACTGCGTTCAGTTCTGGGCACTACATTTGAAGGAGGATTGTAAGAAACTGGAATAGATTTAGAAATGAGCAACAAGAACGATCTCAGGACTAGAAACTAAATCCCATGTAGTATGGCTACCCATCTCACAACAGTGACTGAATGATATACAAAGGTTAAAACCAACTATTACAAACAATAACCCATGATGCTTGAGGTAATCATAAAGCCACATTAACAGCAGAGTTTGCCTAACCGCATGGGGAGACAGCCAGGTATTCAGAGCCTTACAAAAGGCTAACAAGTTTGGAACCATCCGGATCTTTGGGGGGATGGTATTCCACAAGGCAGGCACTGCCATAGAGAAGGCATGACTCCTAGGTCCCACAAGATGACATTGTTTAATAGAAGGAAACTGGAGCATGCCCTCTCTGCTAGATCTGCTGGGACAAGCCAAAACAATGGAAGAGAGGTGGTCCTGCAAGTAACCTGCCCCTATGCCATGTAGGGCTTTATAGGTGGCAACCAGCACCTTTAATTGCACCTAGGAGCCAGTACAGCTCACCAAGCAGCAGTGTTATATGAGCGCAGCAAGAAATGCCAAAAACTGCCCATGCTACTGCATTCTAGGATAGCTTCTGAACGCTCCTCAAGGTCAGTCGCATACAGTAATCCACATGGGAGGTGACTAAGGCATGAATCACTGTGAGCAAGGCCTCCTGGTCCAGAAATCGGCTCAGTTGGTGCACATGGTGAACCTGTGCAAAGACCCCCTCCCTAGGCATAGCTGCCATCTGCTCTTTGAGCAGGAGCTGAGTCCAGGAGGGCGCCCAAATTCTATGCTGACTCTGACTGGGGAAGTGCATCCCCAGGCCAAATTAAAGGTGGAAAATCTATGGAGCCGGGGGCCTTAAAACTCACAGCTACTCAGTCTTGCCAGGGTTCAGCTGGAGTTGGTTCGTCCCATCCAGACCCTCACAGTCTCCAAGTACTGGGAAAGGACCTCAGTAGCATTGCTTGATTGGCCCAGCGTGTACAACTGGCTATCATCAGCATACTAATGATTCCACACCAAATGCTGACAGATGATCTCACCCAGAGGCTTAATGTGGATGTTAAATAGAAGTGGTAAAAGAGCAGAGCCCTGAGG